CCCCCCCTTCCACTCACCGGAAGTTGCTGGGCTCCCTGCCCCCCCCCCGCAGGAGCTGCAGGCTGTGGGGCGCCGTGGGGCGCAGGCAGGGCTGCTGACCGGGGGGCAGGGGGCGAAGGCGGGCGACGACCTGCAGCCGGGGGGGGGGGGCGCTGGGGGGCGGCCCCACAAGTCACTGCCGAGCCCCACAAGTGTCCAACTCTGCCCCATAAGTGACCTCTGGGCCCCATAAGTGCGTCCTCCTGCCCCACAGGTGTGTCCTTCCGCCCCATAAGTGACGTCTGTGCCCCATAAGTGTCCAACTCTGCCCCATAAGTGCCTCCTTCTGCCCCATAAGCGCCCCCCGTGTCCTATAGGTGCCCCCGCTGCCCCCCATTTCCGCCCCGTTTCCTCACCGCTCCCCTCCGCCGCCGCCATCGCTCCCGCGCCGTCGCCGTTTGAAACGGCCAATGGGAGCGCGGCCCGCGGGCATGCGCACTGCGCGAACGGCGGCGGTTGCTTAGCAACGGAAAGAGGGAGGGGACAAAATGCCGGCGGTCGCTTTGAAACGGAAAGAGGGGACAAAATGGCGGCGGTCGCCCAGCAACGGAGCGCCGCCGCCATTTTGGGCGAGGTCCGTCGGCGAGGCGTGACGTCACGCGGTGACGTCACGGGCGGCGAGTGACGCACACGGGAGGCGGCGGTGGGGAGGCAGCAGAGCTTTAATGCGCGCCGGGACCCACGGGCACCCATGGGACCCCATAGGAACCCACAGGGACCCATAGAGACCCACAGACCTCACTGAGACCCATAGAGCCCCATAGAGAGCCCAGAGAAACCCCATAGGGACCCATAGAGACCCCATAGGGACCCCACAGAGCCCCATAGGGACCCCATAGAGACACCAGGACCCCATAGAGACCCCATAGAGACCCCAAATCGCCATAGGGACCCCATAGAGACCCCATAGGGACATCAGGACCCCATGGGGACCCCATAGAGACATCAGAGTGCCCCATAGAGACCCCATAACTCATAGGGACCCCATAGGCACCCCAAGTCCCCATAGGGACCCCATCGAGACCCCAAACCCCCATAGGGTCCCCACAAAGCCCCATATTGCCCTCATTGTGCCCCAGAGCCCCCAGGACCCCAATAAATACCCCATAAATAAATACCCCATAAATAAATACCCCACAAATAAATACCCCACAAATAAAAACCCCATAAATAAATACCCCACAAATAAATACCCCATAAATAAATACCCCACAAATAAATACCCCATAACTAGCCAACCATAGAGCCCCATAGGGACTCCAAATCCCCATAGGGACCCCATAGAGACCCCATAACCCAGAGGGACACCATAGGGACACCAGGACCCATAAGGACCCCATAGGGACCCCAAATCCCCATAGGGACCCCAGAGAGACCCCAAAGCCCCATAGGGACCCCATAGGGACCCCATGGAGACCCTAGGACCGCATAGAGACCCCATAGGGACCCCAAAGCCACATAGGGACCCCATAGAGTCACCAGGACCCCATAGGGACCCCATAGAGACCCCAAACCCCCACAGGGTCCCCACAGAGCCCCATATTGCCCTCATTGTGCCCCATAACCCCCGGGACCCCAATAAATACCCCATAAATAAATACCCCATAACTAACCAACCATAGAACCCCATAGGGACCCCATAGAGTCACCAGGACCCCATAGAGACCCCATAGGAACCCCAAAGCCACATAGGGACCCCATAGAGTCACCAGGACCCCATAGGGACCCCATAGGGACCCCAAAGCCACATAGGGACCCCATAGGAACACCAGGACCCCATAGAGACCCCATAGGGACCCCGAAGCCCCATAGGGACCCCATAGAGTCACCAGGACCCCACAGACACCCGAAACCCCCATAGGGTCCCCACAGAGCCCCATATTGCCCTCATTGTGCCCCATAACCCCCGGGACCCCAATAAATACCCCATAAATAAATACCCCATAAATAAATACCCCATAACTAACCAACCATAGAACCCCACAGGGACCCCATAGAGTCACCAGGACCCCATAGAGACCCCAAAGCCCCATTGGGACCCCATAGAGACCCCATAACCCAGAGGGACCCCATAGGGACCCCATAGAGACCCCAGGACCCCATAGGGATCCCATAGGGACCCCATAGAGACCGCAGGATCCCATAGGGAC